GGAGCACCCACAAGGGGTACCCCAAAATATCCACTGCCTAGGCAGATTAAGTTTACAAAACGAAATGAAGGGGAAAATCAGATGCAACTTAAAATCAATCTTGCTGCTCTACACCGTCATCAGGCTGGTCGCCCTCTCCATCCCGCTGCTCTCCACCATCGTCCGGTCCGCCCTCCTCATCTTCGACGGTTTCGGACGCGTTGCTTGCCGTGGGGTTGGTAGGCGCTTCGGGAGTTGCCACATACTCGGAGTTGACATCGTCATCACTCCAGAACTCGACCGCATCCCAGATCGAGTTAGTATCCCATACCAGCTCGGGATATTCACGGCGGAACCAATGACGAATGGCAGCCACGGTGTCGCGAAGCAGCTTCTTGTACTTCTTATCATCAGCAACCTGGTACTCATCGGAGGTCCAGAACGTCTCCCTTGCCTCCTTGGCAGCCTGCAGCATATCGGCCTTCTGGGACACCTGCATCTCGGACTTCTCTGTCCGGACCTTGGACAGCTCAGTTTGCAAGGCGCTCTCCCGGGTTAGGGAGTCGTTAAGTTCTGCACGTAACCACTCAACATCTTCTTCGGCTTTCCTCAGCAGCTCCCAGCTGACTCGATCTGGGCATCCTTCTCCTTCACCAGTTGGGCATGCTCCTTCAAAACTTCCTCCCGCACCTCCGCCCTCACCCCCTCGCGGCCCTCTTTGAGTTGATCCTCTAGCTTGAGGACCTGAGTCTTCTCGTCCAAGAGATCATTCTGAAGGCGGTCGTTGTGCAACATCATCTGGTTTAAACCAAACTGGGTCTGTGGAAAATAAGAGTTAGTAAAATAACAAGGTCATGGTAAGCAAACCGCGTATTCTCTTTACTCCTCTAGTTTGCTTACCATGACCTTGTTATTTTACTAACTCTTATTTTCCACAGACCCAGTTTGGTTTAAACCAGATGATGTTGCACAACGACCGCCTTCAGAATGATCTCTTGGACGAGAAGACTCAGGTCCTCAAGCTAGAGGATCAACTCAAAGAGGGCCGCGAGGGGGTGAGGGCGGAGGTGCGGGAGGAAGTTTTGAAGGAGCATGCCCAACTGGTGAAGGAGAAGGATGCCCAGATCGAGTCAGCCGCCAGCCGCGTATTCTCTTTAAGCCAGATGTTTGGTATCGCGATAAGACTGGAGTCCCAGAAACGTGAGTGTAGGCACTGGGAACCGCCAGACCCTCGGCGATTACGTGCATGGCGCGCTTGGCGGCCGAGGGGTAGAGGGGCGCCTAAGACGAGAAGGACACAGAGGTGTCGACGGCGGTCCTCTTCTGCCTTTTGGGCGCGAGGTAAGCATCAAGGGGAGTAGCAAGCTTCTCGGCAAGAATGCCCTTCAGTCGAGGCTCTCCAGCAGTCGAGGCCAAGTCTTTGGAAGTTGTTATGTCTAAGGGCCGCTTGGAGGACTTCCTGGCAGGAACGGGTTCAGAGAGTTTCAAAACCCCTGAGCGGCTGGGCACCAGTTGCTTTTGGGAAGGAGAGACCGGTTGCGCAGCAGGAACCGCCAAATGAGCAGCGTTGGCGGGATGTGGAGAAGGAGGAGCGCCAGTTCCCGGCTTTGGTGGTCTTGCGGCGGAAGCGTAACGGCGAGCACCTGGAATAAAGATACATGAGTGGAGGGCATAATGTATGCGTTCAGTACGAAGGAAAAGCAGCTAACCGTAAAAGCGCCGAATAATCTCCAAAGCATTATCACTGCCCTTTGGAGGGAGATCAATCCGATAAGCGCTCATGATCCGCTTTAAGAGCGGTTTAAAGGGTTTGAGGCCGACGGTGTCACTGTTCCAATCCTTCTTGTCTCCAACCGCGAACCCTGTTGGCGGCTCCACGTCACCGTAGTACCAGTTGCCTTTAGGGCGAGCAAAAAAGTACTCTTTAAACCAAGGGGAGTCCAGTTTCGGCGCCCCGCTCACAAATCTTATCTGCGTTTCTCGGCGGTAGCAAGACCAGCAGTTTTCTGAGTCCCTCATTTTGTACAGCAACCGAAACGCATCAAAAGAGGGCGTCTCGCCAATCTTCTCGCATGCGACTCTGAAGGCGATGGAATGGAAGATGATGTCGGGCGAAAGGCGGCCCAACGAACAATTCAGGAAGAGAAGTGTTCTTGTAAGGATAGGGTCAAGCGGAAAAGTCAACCCCATCCGGATGTGCTCTACATGGATGGGAATCCAACCTCCAGGGCATGATCCAGACCGCCCAACTGGTGACGGAGCCGCGTAGTCCCAATCCGCAGGGAGACCATGCGTTTTCAGTTGACGCAAAACCTGATGAGGCTTATAGGCCGCCTCGTTGGGCAGTCCCTGCTCGAACGCACTCCGAGGAACCGCCTCCCCTTCCCACATATCCGCGTGCAGCCTAACACGGTATACGCTATCGTTAACGGCTTGGAACGTCACCACTAGGAGCGAGTCAGATATCGTTAGCGAAGGTGATAACTCCCTCTCACCCACCACTGGGCGCTCGCCGGATAGTGATAACTCCCTCTCACCCACCACTGGGCGCTCGCCAGACTCACTGTCCGAGGAAAGAGCAACAACCGGGGCAGTGGGCGGTTCACTCTCAGCTTCTGAGTAGTTAAAGTATCCCAGGTTGTCACCAACCGCCGAAGATGCTCCACACCGACCGGCTGACGTCCCCGCGACAAGTTGGAGAGCAGGTTCTACTCCTAAAAGGTCACAGAAGGACCGCCTAAGTATTTCGCTAACGAAGGCCGCGCAAAGTGAAGCTAATCGAAAACCTAATCTATAACCACGTAGAAAGAATGAAGATTAGTTACCTGTTGCAGGCTGCTTACTCCCAGAAGGCGGTCCGCCAGACGAGCGAGGAGCGCTGCCGGAAGTGCGAGGAGCATCCCCAGAAGTGGTGGTGGCAGCGCCGTCGCTGGAAGTGGTGGCGGCAGCAACGTCACTGGACAGATTCCGATTCTGGCTATTGGATTGGGTAGTACTATGAGACTCGATCGCCATTTGGGACTTTCGTTTTCTTTTTGCTCGTTTCTGTGAACGCCGGAGCTTCGCAAGGAAATCTGCTCGCGCCGGCGACAAAGAAGAACTGTCTCGCAATAAGAAGAAAGGGAGAATCAGGAACAATGAGCAATTGTGGCTGAAGCAAAAAGAAATTTGGGCAGAATGTGGAAGAGGAGAAGAGAGAAGCGAGTATAAATAGGAGAAGAAAGGGGGCAGGCGAAGCGACGGTTAAGTGACCGAGAGCAAACCCTAGTCTAGGAATTTCAAAAAGGCGGGCAGGTGATAAGACGTGGGACTGGCCGTTGTCAGAGGTTCGAATTCCAAGAACGGACACGTGGCGTGACATGCAAACGATGTAGCAATCCGCGGAATCTGAACCAACGGTCGTTGAACCGCGCAAATACGAAGCAAACAACAAGCGCAGAAGGATGGACCGCATAACTCATTGAAACTCAAATGCAACCAGTCATGGCGGGGGCTGCGAGCACTCAAAATGCAACCAGAGGAACCGCTCGGAGGATTACCAAACCGTGTACTTCGCGCACGGCTTACAGGGGGTGGACAGCGCGAACGCTCAAAACGCAACCAGGAGAACCGCTCGACGGATTAGAAGCGCACACTTCGTGCACGGCTTACCGGGGGTGGACAGCGCGAACGCTCAAAACTTACAGGGGGTGGACAGTGCAAGCACTCAAAACGCACCCAGGAGAACCGCTCGACGGATTAACAGCGCGCACTTCGCGCACGGCTTACAGGGGGTGGACAGCGCGAACGCTCAAATACTCTGATCAAAGTTGGAGGACAGCATCAGGGAAGTCGCACAGTAAGGGCAGTAGGACGCATAATGGAAAACCCCGTCTCTTGGCGGCCAGGGACAAAGGGCAGGTATTGATTAAACTTAGAACCGCTCAACTATCACTAAGCAAACATGTAGCTGCCAAAACCCGTAGCTTTTCACGACTAAAGGGCAATTGTTGGGCCCATAGTTAAGCAGTATTAGGCCTAAGAGGCCCACGAGGAGATGGCAGAGCTAGGCCCAAGGATGGGTCCGAGTCACCGTGAGAGACCCGAGGGGACATGGGGAAAAGAGACACCACAGGCGGCCACCCTATGACGCGACGGGGAATTGGCCGCCCGACACAGGAGACCGTTGGTGTCAGGAAAAGTAGATCTTCCTAGGATACTTACCTCGTACACAGCAGGACTGAGCATTTAATGCGCGCCACAGGCGGTCCAAATAAAGCTGAGCCTATCTAGGCCGCCTGACAAAGCATTTAATGCCTCATACTCAAGCTGGCTGACTATAAATACACTGGTATCGGCATTAATGGTAACTCAACTACTCTCTCTCTATCTAAACCTAAACAACAATTCTTATTCTCTCTCTAACTTAAGCATTGGAGAGTGTCCGGGGAACCACCCACGGACCCTTGTTTTGTAGGGGTTGGAGTACACCCACCATCTAGAACAGACGCCTTGCTCGCTCTGCACAAACCGCCTGGAACAATCCAGGCTTAAACAGACCCAGTCTGACCCGAGTCATGCTTCAAAACGGCCTTCAGAAAGCCCCCGTCTGATCCCTAAAAGAGGGAGAAGAAGAGAGGGGGAAGAGAGGAACGAAGGAAGAGAGATGGTGGGTGGATCATGTAAGTTAGGTAGATTTATTTTGTGGAAAATAAGTTTTTAATAGATATATGTAAGATAAATTTTATTTCAGTCATTAAATCTTTAATTACTACCTTATTTGTACATATATTTAGAAAATGTCTAAAATGACTCAAACTGGCCGAACCCCGATCAAACCATTAAACCTCAAACCCCTTGCTTAACCGACTCAATGACTTAAACCGGTTTGACAACCTTGCATGTGAGACTTTAGCCCCTTCGCAACACTCTCAACATTTTCGAACCTTTACACTTTCAAATATCCTTAAATGCCTCCTCTGAACCAACTAATCAGTAGCTAATTTATAAACATCTTTGAGTCGAAACTTTCTATCTCGTTCTAATCCCAAATTATTTTGTCATCGCCAAGATCCTTTTCGAGGATTTCCATAGCTGCAATCAATCTTTCATGAACCACAATAACTCCTAGATATCTACCCAAATTACGAATGACCCTGGTTTTCCAAAATACCATGAATTTCCATAGTATCACGAACATCTCTCCTAATTTGATGGACTCTTTGGTCTTCATCGTTGCTTGAGAAGGTTTTGTGATGCGTACCGTTCTAAGACTTGAAATCTAATGGAACGACTTTGGTGATTTCAGAACAAAATCATAATTGTCGTTGTACCTCAACTTTTCAAAGATTCAAACCGCATCAATTGACCAAAGCCAATTGGCCAAAGTGGAGGAAGCAATTTCTTAAATGCTTACATTGCCCCTTCCTTCATCTTCTCAAGGTAAAACCAAACCAACAAATTTTCTTACACAGACGCAATTTCCTCGATCCATTCCTTTTCTTTCTCCACTCCAGTCCAGCACGCCTCGGCCGGCAGTAATGGCGCCCTAAGTCCAAGCTTCTGAATGGAGAACAGAACTGTAACCATACTCGCCTGCACCACGATCGCCTTACTCGTCGTCCTCATAATCGTCGCCCGGGTCTCCCTCAAGCTCTCCCGCCCCTTCTTCTTCATCGCCGGCGCCGATGTCGCCGTCATCCTCGCCGTCGTCTCCTACCTCTTCATCCGCCGCCGCTACAACAACCGGAGCAAAATCCTCAGGACCCAGATGGTCTCCGAGAGCCGGGAGCTCCGCATCGAGTACAGCTTCCTCCGCAAAGTCGCCTGCGTCCCGACCAAGTTCCGGTACCAGGAGATCGAGGACGCCACCGCCAATTTCCAGTCTTTCCTCGGCAGGGGAGCTTCCGCTTCGGTCTTCAAGGGCGTTCTCAGCGACGGGACCGCGGTGGCGGTGAAGCGGATCGGTCCCGAGGCCCGAGGCGAGAAGGAGTTCAGATCTGAGGTCGCCGCCATCGCCAGCGTCCAGCATCTCAACCTCGCAAGGCTGATCGGCTACTGCATCGTCCCCAATCAATCTCGCTACCTCGTCTACGACTTCGTCCCCAACGGATCCCTCGATTGCTGGATTTTCCCCCAAAAAATTGGGGGAAACGGAAACCCTAACCCTAGGTGCTTGACATTCGACCTCAGATACAGAGTCGCAATAGACGTCGCGAAGGCGCTGAATTACCTCCACAGCGACTGCCGGTCGAGGATCCTCCACCTCGACGTAAAGCCGGAGAACATTCTCCTCGACGAGAACCACCGGGCGATCGTCTCCGATTTCGGGCTCTCGAAGCTGATGCGCCGCGACGAGAGCAGAGTAATCACCAACATAAGAGGAACAAGAGGCTACCTGGCGCCAGAGTGGCTTCTCGAGCTCGGGATCTCGGAGAAATCGGATGTGTACAGCTACGGGATGGTGCTACTGGAGATGGTCGGCGGGAGGCGGAACGTCTGCCGGGGGAAGAGATCGGGGAAGGAGAAGAGTGGGAAGTGGGAGTACTTCCCCAGAATCGTGGAACAGAGGATGAGGGAAGGGAAGCTCATCGAAGTGGTGGATCGGAGATTGCTGGAGAACGGCGGCAGCGGAATTGAAGAGAGGGAATTGACGCGGTTGGTTCATGTGGCGTTTTGGTGTATACAGGAGGAGGCTCCGTTGAGACCCACGATGGGTACGGTGGTTGAGATGCTCGAAGGCAGAGTGCCGGTGGGTCAGCCGCCGGAGACGCAGATGATGCTCGTTGACATGCTGTCCATGGATGAGGACTCCTCCCGGGAAGTTCAGAATAATAATAATAGGAGGTTGGTGGCGGTGCCGATAGCGAAAGTAGATGACACTCCCGTTGCCGCCGTCTTGTCGGGTTCTTTCACCATGTCGGTTATCTCCGGCAGGTAGCTGCCGGCCGGCTGGTATTCTGCCGTCTTTTTTTGTTTTTTGGTTTTCAGGTCCATGCTGTAAACTGGAACTGAAACATAAATCACAATTACAAAATACTTGAGTTGAAGTTAATTAGACGGAGATGTATATAGTTGGTGGGTTAAGCTTATTCGCCGGTGACTTCTGTACTAATCAGGTAGTCCCTGAGTTCTTTCCCGGCCGAAAATGCCGTCGGAGAAATAGTGGTTTTGCCGGTTAGGTGATTGAAGAAATGTTCAAATGATTACGCGGTTAATTAATTTAATTAATGGTATTGACTAATTCACTATTGGGTTTTAGGAGCTAGAGGCTTGAAGCTAGCTAGTACACGGTTGGTGACCAACTGTTTGTCGAAACTCCAAACACTTGGCTAGATTTTTTCCAAAATAAAAGTAGAAAAGAGCCTTTTCCTATTGGGGTGATATAACTATCCTGAGGTTAATTCCTTAAATATTGTTTTTTTTAATTTACCACGAATATAGTGTTTTTTTTAATTACCACGAATATAGTGTTTTGAAAAATATTTACAAGAATATTGTGTTTTGATGGAGGGAAGTTGGCGACGGCGCCCGAGACTCAGAAAATATAGTTTTTAAGGGTAAAGCTAGCGACGGCGCGCCAGTCTCAGGCTTTGGCGCTTTTTGAAATTTTTGAAATTTCAAAAAGCGCCAAAGCCTGAGACTGGGGCGCCGTCGCTATGCTCCTTTGTTTTTTTAATCCCCTTCCTCGCCCTCTCGCACCAGACCAGACCACATCCTCCTCCATCCCGACCTCCTTCACCCTCCCAGCGCCGACGCCAAAAATAGAGCGGCGACGCCTAGATTAAGGAGGCAGCGCGAGGAACAAGGCGAAGGGGCCCCAGCAACAGCGGCGACGCGGAATGTCCGACGACGAGCAGCAGGCCCCCGGCGGCAGAGGAAGAGGCCGAGGGCGGCGAGGGCGGCGTTGCGGCGGCGGCGGCGGCGGCGGTGACGGCGGCGAACGCTACAGGAGTGAGTGTCGGATTCTTGTCGGTGGCGGCGATTTTTTTTTTCCGGCGACATTTTTTTTATGTTCTAATATTTTTTTCCCCAGTTTCTAGGCTTATCGATCCTTGTTCGATGAGACCACCACCTGCGACAATCGATACTGCTCCGATGGATCCGAAACTTCTTTGGGGGCATGGTCACCATCGGATTGACGCAGTTCGGGCAAATGAGGTAAGCTTTTTTCAAACTATTTCTATAGTTTTATTAGCTGAATAATATAATATAATAGAATAGAATAGAATTAAATTACGATTGGAATTAAATTAAATTAGGAATAGAATTAGATTAAGTTACGAGTATATTATATTAGAATAAGTTTAGTTTAGATATATAAATATAAATATTAGGTGAATTGAAGGAATTGAATTAATATAGTTTTGTGCATTAATTATAGGCTGGTGATCGACCATTCCACATTCGTCATACGGGCAATTTAGTTCGATACAATCCACTGTACCTGCCGTTATAGGTGTCAATCGGGCGGGTTCGGGCTGGGTTCAATCGGGTTCGGGTTCAAACGGGTTGCGGGTTAGTCGGGTTCATCGGGTTCGGGTTCAAACGGGTTGCGGGTTCATCGGGTTCGGGTTCAATCGGGTTGCGGACAAACGGGTTGCGGGTTCATCGGGTTTTGGGTCGGGCGGGTAGCGGGCGGATCGGGTTTCGGGTTGTTCGGGCCAGTGCATCGAGTAACTTACTCATTACTCGTTACCAACTTACACATTTTATTACACTAATTTAAAATATTTTTCTCAACTTTTTAACCAATTTATTTCTACGTCGTACATATATACTTAGTTTTTTTTGAAAAAAACTAGTCAAAATGTTAAATAAATTTGTATGACTTGCAAACTTGTTATGTAATTAATCATAATTGGTAAAGTACACTAGCTAATAGTAATGGTGATATCAATATTTGCAACCAAAAGACCACATTAATTGTTTATTTGATATTTTAGTATTATTCCAGTAGTAATTGGATTAAAGTATCTTGTTTAGTATAACCATGCAAATATGGGATTTGGTTTGTGGTATTTGGCAAAAGCAGAGTGATAAAAGGAGTTATTTCGAAATAACTCATTGCCCAAATAACTTCAGTAAACTATTGCCAAACGAGTTATTTGTAAAATTGTTTGAATTGTCCTAAAGATTAACTATCAAATTTAGTAAAATTATTGTGACTTCAATCATAACTTACTGAATAACATATATCCTATACAGTTAGCCTTATCCTCAATCGATAATATTAAGTTAGTATATGTTGTTGATTGAATACCCTAAACCATCAATACATTATACACTAACCACATACCCTATACCCTAACCATATGTCCTTATGAGTTGTAATTTTGCTGGTAGAGTTAATTTAAAAGTGAGATTCATACTTTGATTTTCAAAACATAGATAGAAAGTGATATTTGTTAATTGCTATACCTAGGGCTGCAAATGAGCCAAGCCGCTCACGAACAGCTCGGAGCTCGGCTCGAGAAATATTCGTTCGATACTCGGCTCGTTTCTTAATTAGCTGGCTCGTTAGTTCGCTCGTTTACTAATGAGCCGAACATGACCTAGGTCCAGCTCAACTCGTCAGGCTCGCAAGCTAGCTCGGCTCGATGGCTCGTTGAGCCTAGCTCGCAAGCTAAGTCGATAACGTGACTCACGACACTACAGGAAAACTGGTTTCTAATCACGGTATCTTATTCACGGTAATTATTCCTGTATTAAAAAATATGTTAATAGTCACGGTAAAAATTCCCATATTTGATTTTATAGTTCTAATCATGGTAATTAATTTATCTATTTTTTAGTCTTTATTTACCGTGATTAATTGTTAGTCACAGTTAATTCCCCTGAACAATGTGACGATTTATAATAAAAAAAATAAGTGAGAATTTGGCAATTTGCTTTATCCAAAATTTGCTATGCCTCCAATAGTTCCTTTGGCTCCAAAAAAACAAGTGAAACCCTCCAAATCCAAAAAACCCGCCACTCCCAATTGTTTTTGGCTCAAAAAATTTGGTTTTGGCTCCGTGAAATTCGAACGAAGACACAATTCTAGCTAGAGAACCAATATCTTTCCCTCTTTCTACCTTCTGTTCCACTTCCACCTCACACTCCTTCTTCTCTCTCCATCCCGATTGCGTCTAGTTTTTCTCTGAATCTTCCTAAACTACTTCTGTCAAAACCCTTCCCTTCGTTTTTCTTGTACTTTCCCTTTTGTTTGTTCATCTGGAGAATGAAAACAAGCTTCGTTTTCTTAACCCATTAGATTCACCTCCAAATTTCCCCACCGCCTTTTCGCTGCTCCACTCAAGGCTTTGAAGATACGTTGTTTGAATTATCATCGTTTTAGCCAAGTTCTCCTCAAATCCTCGTTAAATCTCAATTCAATTTTTCCTCAAATTAGGGTTCTTTTTCAACAAAGTTGACCTCGTCAATATTGATTTATGAGTCTCAATTTGTTTTAGGGATTTCGTTTTTGAAATTTCATTTCCACGAATTCATTTCCCCTCTTAGTTCGACCGAAGCCCGGCAATTGATTGCGCCAAATTTGGGTAAAGTTCACTCACAACCCACAACCCGCACCACTACTTCAAGAGGTAGAGATTTCGATGGGGGAGAGGACATTGGATTCCAACGAAGAGGGTCTACTAAACGTTGGTAAGATTCGAGTATGCTAATCTCGTCAATTTGTCTGTGCATTCGTTCTTCTTTAATTTCGTGTTTATTCTCATACCATTATTATGCCCTGCCGCCTTTTCATTGAAGTTCGGTTTACTTTGAGGATCTCTCTAGGGTCTCAATTCATGGTTTTGTGAGGTTTGATTTTGAGGTTTTCTATTATAGAGGATTCATAGTGATTCTCTCTTACTTTGAGTTGCAAGTAGAAGTGAAAGAAGAAATTATATGGACTTCTATTGATATTTAGTATTTCTTATGACTTCCAGGTTGGCCCCAACACAGGCGTCCCTCTCCATTTCAAGGTTTCATAGTTCCTTGTCCCTGTTGCATGTAAGAAGCTTACTTTAGCTATGTTTGTTTTTTGGATGATACCCCATATGAAATTTTCATTGGAGGATGTAATAAGTTTACTTTAGCTATGTTTTTTGGATGTTGTATAGAGATGTCGTTCTCATCGTATCATTGAAGGGTTCATGACACAAGGTGGAGACATTGGGGATGGTACTTGTAGGGAATCCATTTATAGGTTGAAATTCAAGGATGATAATTTTCAACTAAAACATGAGAGAAAACATAAGTCGGAACTGATACTATTTCTTTCTCTTGTGGATATGTAGCCATACTGACAAAGCGGATTGTGACTTTTCAGGTGTTCATACAAGGTAATAGCTGCTGTAAGAAAGAGTGTAAATGGGTGTCGGTGCAGCTCGTGGATTAGCTCATTGACACCAAGACTAAAAATATTTTTATCTCTTAGTCTGTTGTGAATCTTTAATTGCATGCCTACTATACTATTGGTCTCTACTGTGATGAAAGACAACGGAAGGCATTAGTATGTTGCAGGAATGCTGGTTCTTTCTGGTGCTTTTAGTTTCCATGGGTTCAAAGGGTTTCTCTTAGATATGAAGTATTTTATACTGGTTTTTCAGCATTACAACTAAGGATTGGTAGTTTAGAAACTTGACGAGCTGAAGAAGAATCAGATTAGTTGTCTACTGGAGGCTTACCACTAAAATGAGAAACCAGATTTACCTATCAGTAGAAAGTTGTTACTGGACTTGTCATATGGGCAGGATTTTATGAATAAAGGGTATTTTGCTGATGGTATTATCATACAGAAAGCTAAAGAGGAGATGTCATCCAGCTATGTTTATTGATGCCCAAAACAGATAAATGTATACTTTGTGTCATCTCTACCTCAGTATTCTCTACTTTTATTTAATAGTTAAATTAACCAAAAGTTTAATTTATATATTATATTAATATTGTGCATGATCTCAATTATTAATTATTCATTATTAATATTGACATTATGTTGATTTTATATTTACTTTTTTAATTTTGTTAAAGAACTTAGTGTTCAAGTGACCTTCATGTTCAGTTTTGTAATTTTCTTAAAATACATAATATCAAATGAGTTTCATATTTTTTAAATTCTCTATACGAAATGAAAAAATAATTTTACTTAAGTTTAGAATGAAAGACTTTATTTTGAAAAACTATGTATTGTATATTATAATAATTATTCAAGTGGATTAGGTGAAGTTCGGGTTGAGTCGGTCGGGTTATGGGTTAGTCGGGTTCGGGTCAATTGGGTTCGGGTTAATCGGGTTGCGGGTTAGTCGGGTTGCGGGTCAATCGGGTTCGGGTTAATCGGGTTGCGGGTCAGTCAGGTTGTGGGTTAGTTGGGTTGTGGGTCAATCGGGTTGTGGGTCGGGCGGGTTACGGGTTGTTGACTTTTAGTCAATTCAGGTTGCGGTCGGGTTGATCGGGCGGGTTAATCGGGTCGGGCTATGTTTTGACACCTATACCTGTCGTATCTCGTCGATGCCGGCCTGTCTAGTGTTCTGCCACTAGCCCCTCTTACCGGTGATCCGGGTTTGATTACTGCGCTCGTAGAGCGTTGGCGACCCGAGACATCGACATTTCACATGTCGTTCGGTGAGGTGACGATCACCCTAGAGGACGTTGTGACACTCACCGGATTAGCGATCGACGGTGATGCCGTCGTAGTAGACATACCAGACGAGGACTGGTCGGGTATGTGTCTTCGACTGTTAGGACAGGCTCCTACTGATCTTGGTGGCGGCGTCATCCGGATTTCTTGGCTCAGGGAGACTTTCGATGAGCTGCCGCTTTCTTCATCACCCCTGACGACAGAGCAGTTTGCAAGAGCGTATGCGCTGTCTCTGATGGGAGGTGTCTTGTTCTCCGATCGGTCTGGAGGTTCAATTCACCTGCAGTACCTACTTTTGGTGGAGGGTTGGCACAGAGCGGGGAGGTTTGCTTGGAGAGCAGCTGTGTTATCCTACTTGTACCGTGAGATGGGTAGATCGGCGCTGCAGATGATGGCATCTTCTTCACTGGGTGGTGACTTTGGTGGATGGTCCGCCTTGCTGATGATCTGGACGTGGGAGCGGTTTCCTCATACATCACCACTACATGCGGTGACGGGTGAGCAGATTACTCAGGACGCAGTGCCAC